GGGGTGGGGGGTGGGGGGGGACACAACACGTGCTATCTCTCCTTGTTCGGAAAAAAAGGGTTGGGTTGTGAAGTTATGGTAATGATGATGGATATAATGACAACATAACACGTACCCCGCACAACCAGGCGAAAAGAGGAGAAAGAGAGAAGATAAGAGAAAAAAAAAAAATAAAGGAAGACAGAAAGACGGCAGTAACGTGAAAACGAGGGAAAGTAAGAAAGTAAGAAAGAAAGAATGACAGAAATGAAAAAAGAAAATGACAGGAAAAAAATAACAAACTTACAAAATAGAAATCGTCGAATCGGATCATAAAAAAAATATCCAAAGATAACAAACAAATAAAAAAAAAAACACAAACAACAACAACAACAAAAACGTAAATAGAAAAATAAAACGACAAAAGCAACACTAATATTTATCCAAAACGCCACAGGATTTCAAAATAACAATCGTTTTTATTATCATTATTTTTTTTACAACCGACCACGCTAATGACAGTCTTCTGGGGGTTGTGGGCGGCCTGTGACACCTTTCGTGGGCGGCTCCATGGTGCTTTAAGGGATGTGCGAATACCTTTTAACGACCCCCACCTGCCGGCGCGGGCGTGTGGGCGTGTGGGCGGGCGGGCGGAAATCTCCTTAGCAAAAGTGCGGGCGGTTTGGCGAATGTGATTTTTACCGCCCATGTGAAGTCCTCCCTTGGCCTCCTCTGTTTATCCTTCTCCTTCTCCTTCCCTTTGCTTTGCTATCCTCCCATTCTTTTTTTTTTTTATTCCTTCTCCCTCTCTTCATTTTCTTTTTTTTTCTCTCTTTTCATTCTCCTCTTCCCTTTTCTTTTACCGTCTCTTTTCATTTCTCCTCTTCCCTTTCTTTAACCGTCTCGCCCCTCCTCCTCCTCCTCCTCCTCCTCCTCCTCCTCCTCCTCCTCCTCCTCCTCCTCTTCCTCCTCCCATTCCCTTCCCTCCCCCTTCCCTCCCTTCCCTTCCCTTCCCTTTCCCTTCCCTTCCTTTCCATTCCATTCCCTTTCCCCATTCCCTTTCCCTTTCCCTTCCCTTCCTCCTCTCCTCCTCCTCCTCCTCCTCCTCCTCCCTCCCTCGTCTTGCCCTTTCCTTGGCTGAACTTCCCGCCGTCAGATCCCCCCAAGACGACCTTTTCATAAGGTCACGAAGAAAGACCAATTGTAAGATTTTGCGTTTCTTAATTAATGAGAATTTGTGAGTGAGTGATTCGGTTAGCGAGTTGGTGAGTGAGGTGAGAGTGAGAGTGAGAGAGAATGAGAATGAGAGAGAGAGAGAAGAGAGAAAGAGAGAAAGAGAGAGAGAGAGAAGAGAGAGAGAGAGAGAGAGAGAGAGAGAGAGAGAGAGAGAGAGAGAGAGAGAGAGAGAGAGAGAGAGAGAGAGAGCCTCGTTGTTCTTAATCTCTCTTTCTCTCACTCTCTCCCTCTCCCTCCACCTCTCCTTCCCACCTTCCCTCTCTCTTCCTCCGTCCCTCCCTCCTTCCCTCCCTCTCCCACCACCCTCCCTCCCTCCTCCCTCTCCCTCCCCCCTCCTCTCTCCCTCCATCACCCCAACGCCAAACAGGAAACTTTGCATAAACCAATTCCATCAGTCTAAAACAAATGAGGAATAAAAAGAGAATAAAAGGTCAAGCGCTTTCGGGATGCGCAGGAAGATTTCGCAAATAATTTTTACATTATTCAGCTCACAGAGAGAAACAACCGTTAATGGAATATTGGAGCATAATGGGAAAAAGAAAAAGGTATATAACCCCCGCTCCCACACACGCACGCACATACATACATTATATATATACAATATCCATATATATTTATACAAATATACATATATATACATACACATAAATATATGTCTGTCTGTCTGTCTGTCTGTCTGTCTGTCTGTCTGTCTATCTATCTATCTATCTATCTATCTATCTATCTATCTATCTATCTATCTATCTATCTATCTATCTATCTATCTATATATATATATATATATATATATATATATATATAGAGAGAGAGAGAGAGAGAGAGAGAGAGAGAGAGAGAGACTAACAGATGGAACAGAAAAAGAAAAAAAACAAGACAAAGACAAACCCTCTCTTCCATTCTCCTTAATCAACAAAACATAAATAAATAAATAAATAAATAAACAAAAACATATGCCCACGAGGACCAACCAAACACAACAATAAAAAGACAATAAAAACGAAATAAAAAAACAACAAACAAAACAAAAACAAAACAAAAATATATATACATAAATATATCCCCACCAAGATCAACCAAACGAAACAAACAAAAACAAACAAACAAACAAGAAAAACGACAAAAACAGCGACGCCACAACAGCCCCAACCATTTATCAGCCACTTACAGGAGACACCTCAGCCCATAGACGATGCACGGCCGCCCACGCCTTGTTCCGACGCCCATCCCACACCCTGTTATCCTCTCTTGCTCTCTCTCCTTCCTCTCTTTCTCTTTCTCGGTATCTTCTTTTTTCTGTTTTCTTTTTTTTGTCTGTTTTTTCGCTTTTTCTATCATTCTTTGTCTCCGTTTCTGTCTGTCTGCCTGTCTATCTATCTACTTATCTGTCTGTCTCTCTTTTATTCTCGTTTCCTGTCTTATATGTCGCTTCTTGTTTAGTTTATTTTCGTATCTTTTTCTCTTCAAGTTTTTTTTCTTATTCCACGTTCCCTCCTTTCGTCGCCCCTTTTGTCTTTGTTCTTTCTTCTAGATATTTATTTTCGTTTCCTTTGTCTCTGCTTCTTTTCCTCTCCTTCCCCTTCTTCTCCGCCTTCTCTTTCTACTTCTCCTCCCGCTGCGCCTCTGTCTCCTTCTCCATGTCCTTCGCCCTCTCTTTCTCCTTTTCCTCCTCCTCCTTCTTCTCCTTCTACTCCTATTCCTTCCCCTTCTCCTCTTCCTCCTCTTTTTCCTTCCCCTTCTCTTCCTTCTCCTCCTCCTCTTATTCCTTCCCCTTCCCTCTTCCTCCTCCCCTCTTTTTTCCTCCTCTTCCTTCTTCTCTTCCTCTTATTCCTTCATCTTCCTCCTCCCCTTTCTCTTCCTCCTCTTTTTTCTTCCCCTTCCTTCTCCTCCTCCTCCTCTTCTCTACCTCTTATTCCTTCCCCTTCTCCTCCTCCTCCTCCTCTCTCTTCCTCTTCTTCTCTTCTCTTCTTCTCTTCCCACACCTTGTCACTCCTAATCAAGCGGTCACCCAATATACTCTCTCTCTCTCTCCCCTTATTCCCTCCTTCTTCATTCTTACCGTCTCGATTATCCAATTTTCGCTAATTACGT